AGATTGGCCATTGTCAGTCCTAGACCCAGATGAGTGAATAAGGATTGTGCTAAGGGCCAGCTACTTCACCTCTAAAACAATTCAGTTACAGAAGCTCACAGAATAAAGTGAGACTTAAATGTATTCGAAAACAAACAACTGGGGAAATTAATGAACATTTAACAGGATACATTCAAGAAAGGCAAAAAAGTAAGAAATTTATAATCCCCGTCCCCTTGTGGGATGAGTTTTTAGTTTTTTGAAGCCTCACCCTTGTAGTTGCCCGGGACCCTAATATAACCTAACGGTTGAACAGGTTTTCTGGGATCTTTCCACAGGTGATCCTCATCCCAATGGTGGCACTTTGTGTCACTGGGTGTTTTCGATCAGTGTGATGTCCTAGTGGGGTAAAAAGTCAGTCAAAAGTAAGAGAAATTTCTGGAAAATCACTTAAATCAACAGAAGAAGAATAAAAATGACTATGATAAGCTGGACACATCCTGTAAAGAAGGGGGCAGAGAATCACAAACAGCCACTTCTTCTTCCTCTTGTGGTGGCTTTCCTGATTTATTGACAGACAGTTTCGTGTTATAAAATGTGCCATCTTTTGGAGTTCCTCTTTAGCTCCATATATATAGCTTTGAGTATGGCGCTGACTCATTGGACAAGTATTCCATTCTAAATGGACTACAAGAGGCAGTTTTGCAGGACATGTTTTGGAGTTTGTTTCGCACAGCCCACATGGGCACAGTGGTGAAATACTAGGACAAGGCAAATGCTTGATAAGTTTGTTATATCCTGTCCTGAGGGGTAGACGGATGACCTGTCCATGCCGGTCAAGTAAGTGGTAGTCCCCTTTGGCCTCATTCTTTTCATTTCTAACAGAGATGCCTCCCTCCCCACCAACCTTTCCTTTTTTAAAATATGTTATTTCATTATCAGTCTGTTCACAAGGTTTGAATCCGTTGGAGCCCCACCAACATATTTCTTTTTTCTTTAGTTCGCTTGAAATAGACTATGTCTGCAGTGTTTTCTCTAGTATGAACTTCATTGTCTATTGTAATTCATCAGCGGCCGGTAAAGTTTGGCTTGCACCTTCTGTTGGTAAAAAGTTTTGCCTTGATATATTGTATTTGGGACAGTCTTGAAGGACATGATCTGTTGTCAGGTGCTAATCCTCGTGTACACGTGGCTGAACCGCATATCTTAAACTGTGTGTGGAAAACTATTAAAGCAAATGGGGAGGGGGAGGGGGACTAGAAAAGCCACAACGACTAAAAAAAAAAAGCTTGGATTGGTTCTGCAGGTAGGTAGGTGCATGAGTGTTTGTACTCAACAGGACTTTAAACAAGCGATAAACACCCGGTGACACAAAGTGCCACCATGTGGATGATGATCACCTGTGCTGAGGTCTCAGAAACCCCTTATAGCCGTTAGGCAATATCTAAGCCCCGGTTATATTCAGGGCCCACGGCAGAAGCCAGGGTGGGGCTTTGAACAAAATATGGCATTCCCCATAGGAACGACTAGATTTCCCTGTAAAGGATACGCAACTAACTTTTATATAACATGGTTGTTGGGCATGTGATAAAGATGTCTGGATGTCAACAGTCAAATCTTTACAAGCCTGACGAAGTGATGACGTCCAAAACAAAACCTTGGACAACGTTACATATGATTCATTCAGTAACATGTCCCTCGCAGAACCTCGCTGCCATAACAACCCTCCGGAAAACCTTCCTATCCTGAGCAAGATGTCCTGCGTCTGATACACCCATCTGGAGATCATCTGCCACATCCTGCACCCATCTTCTCCTTGGCCTTCCTCTTCCTCTCTTCCCAGGCATATACCCCTCCATTATTGTTCTCTCTAGACTTCCATGACGTTTCAAGTGACCAAAATATTTCAATTTTCTTTGTTTTATTGTCTTTACTAGCCAACCCTCCTCAATATTCAGCTCTTGAAGTATGGATGCATTTGTTCTTTTCTTTACCCAAGATATTCTTAGAACCTACACATGATAGAACAGGGTTAAAGAATAAACATCACGCCCTATGTGACACAGAACTGGCACAATAGTGCAGGGTGATGATGAGGACGATGAAGAGGTGATGATGATAATACAGCACCATTTATGCGATAAAAGAATGAATTAATATGTTTTATTTCGTTGCTAGTTACGCTAGCCATTTTAGAAAACTTGCGATACGTCACAAAGCGGAAGTTTACTTCTCGAGCCAGCAACTTTCGATTATGGAAGTCATTTTATTATCTTCAGGGGTTGCACTATCAAACTAAGATCCTGGACATGCATTAATATACGTCACCCAAGCAGACAAAAAGATTGCACGTATTAACAGTTTCAGATTATTATATTTTTAGTGTAACTAATGTCATTGTCGTATTAACAGTTTCAGATTATTATATTTTTAGTGTAGCTAATGAATGTCATTGTCGTAGTCGTAGTAATAAGTTTATAATAACAGTTTTAGATTATTATATTTTAGGTAGGGCTGTACCGAATATTCGCTTCGTATTCGTAGTGGACCTAATAAGTTGCGGTCGGGCCGAATACGAATAGTGGTTACCTTACTCCCGTTTCTGCATATACTAGCTACTACAGTTTCGGAAATTAGCGATCTTTTCGACAATTTCCGTTACCATAGAAACCGTTTGAAACTTGTTTCGGAAATGTCGGCTGGGGTTTCGGGATGGGTCCTAATCTCTCATGAAATTTTGCCATTGGTGTGATTTTCACCCACTCTAAATAGCTGAAAACGGCAGGAAGGAACTCGATTAACAGCGCATGTCTACGACAGCCGGACATTCTCTGTTTTTCTGTTAGTCTATCAGTTTGATTGAAAATAGCGGTAAATTCGAGGTTGGTTTAGGCCTTAAACATTACCAGATGTGGTACGTTACAATTGAATTCTCCGTCCAATTTTACATTTGCATATATAAATTTCTTTCCCGTCTTTGGCTCAGTGACATTTTTAGGCAATTTTGCGGCTGAGTGAGCTGAGTCTCACTGCCTGCCATCTTGTCCAATGACAGTCCAATAACAAAGCCGATACAGAACTGCGCAGTAGGTTGCGCAGACTGTGCAGTTTCTGGGTCACAAGTTTTAGCGGCTGTTTCTTACATTCATTCCACAAAAACCTACATATCTCAGCTCAGAAATAGCAAGCCTAAATAAGGTACCATTGGAAAGAGATTGTTTACAGCTATCTAACTGTGCTGGTTTTATTGGTGTAGAGGGCATTTTAAAAATTTGACTGAAGTACCAACATTTACTGTGATTAACTGAAATATTATAACTCTCTCATTAACACAATAGTTGCTGTTGCCTAAGTCTGTCATAGCAGGGGAAACTGCGACCCGGTTGCGTGTTACAAACTGCATTAAAATGCCAACCGCAGTGTGTGTGCGAGTTTCTGTGTGAGATAGACAGCATTTTGTTTCTTTCAGGGTGTCTTCGCCCAAATTTTGAAGATATTTAGGTGCTTTAAAATCATCGAACAAACGGTTTAAATTTTTGAAAGAGGCGGGACCCCATAATCACAGACATCAGAAGAGACAGTCATTTTTTCAGCCATGTTATGAGAAGAGGGGAAAAATGGAACATTTGGTGACCACTGGAAAGATCTGTCTGTAAACAGGGATAGAGGAAGACAACGAGAGAAGATTCTTGAAGTCTTGTTGCATGGCATGAATGTGTGTCAGCACACGAACTGATACATTTAGGCAGATTGTATGATCGCTCACGCCAGTTTCTGAACTGAGATATGAACAATGTCGGTTTTTTGGTACAAGCCCTAATTTTAGGTACTTTAGTCAAATTTTTAAAATTCCCTCAACACCAATAAAACCAGAGATTAGATAAAAAACTTTTCTAAACAGCTTGTTTATGTCTAAAACTGTAGTGTCCCAGAAACAAAAAGTTTTCACTTTTCTTTGCGCAACCAAACTGCGCACTTCTATTTTGGCTCTCTTTACATTGGACAAGATGGCAGACAATTTTTCTCAGACACAGCCACATAATAGCGATTGCCTGAAAAATGTCACTGTAAATCTAAATAGCCACTGATAAGAAAGACATTTTATACACAAATGTAAAATTGGACGGAGAATTCAATTATCACTAGCATTACCATGTCTAGTAACAGTTAAAGCCTAAAGCCAACCTTGAATACTTATCGCTATTTTCAATCAAACTGATGTAACAGAAAAACAGAGGACGTCCGGCTGTCCTAGACCTAAGACATGCGCTGTTAATCGGGTTCGTTCCCGTATTTTCAGCTATTTATAGCTAGTGAAAATCACACCAATTGCAAAATTTAATGAGAGATTAGGACCCATCCCGAAACCCCAGCCGACATTTCTTAAACAAGTTTCAAACGGTTTCCATGGTAACGGAAATTGCCAAAAGATCGCAAATTTCCGAACACCGTAGTCGCTAATATTTTTAGTGTAGCTAATACTAATCATAATGTATGGCTCTCCTTTAAATAACGATCGCTAGCTGGAAAGCCGACGGTTGCTTAGTGGGAGTTCACTCCCTTGGTTGCAAATAACAGTGGCAGGTGGAATGTTAACAGCATCAGCCATCAGAACCATCTATACAAACTTGAGTCTAGCATCATGTACCTGTCACTGCACATGGGGCATTCCCATGTATGCTTAGTCCTCTGTTGAAGCCGCCACTCTAAGGTACCTCCACTAAGTGTTCACATGAGGAGCTTGTTGTGATGCTCCCATGTCAGTCTAGTTGGCGGCGTATGTAATGTACATTTCACAATGCATTACTACCAGGTCACGCAAGCATGTTAGAATAAGAGATTTATCCTTATCCAGTAGCCCAGGCCATACAGCATTGATGATATCCACTCTTTTCATGCTTCTTCACATATGCTTTTGTGCATTGCTTGCCAGTTGCTCTACTCTCTCTTTAACCACATTATTTAATTGTATATTTAGCTCTTAACATATTTATTTTGTTCAATTATTCCAATTTAGGAATATGATTCCAGTATACAGTACGGTGTGGACAGCTCTTGTGGTGTTTGCAGTAATTTTCTTCTCTAACGTGTGTGCTAAAGATGCACGGTTAATTCAGACTCTTGAAGATGATATTGGAGCAGAAAACTTCACTTACTATAGGCTTCAGAGACCAGGAAGTCTTCGTTTAGAGTTGATAAGCTTAAAAGGGGACGTGGATATCTACGTTAGCTCTACAGTAAGTGTGTATAAAAAAAATATTAGTAATGGAGGATAATTGTTGTTTTTTTAAACTGTGATAGATGCTTGGTGTCCTAGTTGTTACTTTGACGGTAAGACCATTGATTTAGATTGCACACTGGACACAACAGATATGCAGCAACATGTACAAGATATTCAAGACTGGGGATTCAGAACTTTTCACCTTTAGTCAGGCATCACAGAATACTAAACGTGTGCTATATATGTGCTCTCTATGTGCAGTGGAGATATCACAGGTTTGGCCTGTTGGCATTCCAATGGAAACCAAGCTGTATGGAACAATGGAAGACATGCATCGCACTACAGACTTCATAGAGGCCTAAGGTTGGGGGGGGGGGGGTTTCAAACCACAGGGAAAACGAAAATAAGATAAAGACTTTCAATTTTTCCTAGATAGTTGTGTCTTTAGCTCTTATTTTTCTTCAGCATTCCTAGTCATAAAGATTTAATGCTGCGGATATAACTGTATAACCAGCCCCCATTTATCTCTGTGATTGAATAGAATCATACTTTACATTTATCACTCCTTGTTAATTCAGTTTCATAGTTTTTAATCATTATAACTTATCCAGACCATGGATAGTATTATTTTAAAATCTGTTTGTTACATTAAGTTTTCTTCCTCTGCTGAGGGTCATTCTCCTGCTGGATAGCTGTCTGTAGGATTAACACATTAAGGATGGAATTCAGTTAGATCCCAGAAGCCCTGTTCAACCGCTTAACAGTTATATCAGGTTACCCCTATGGTTAGGAAGTAACCAGCAGTCTAATGTGGGTGTGGGAAATGTATATTTTCCTATTCTGTTTTTCCTTCACTAACCTAGGCATTGGCCCACACCCGCCTTGTGAGGTAGCTTGGGCTGTCATGTTTTCCTATAGATCTTGGTTCTTGATGTTCTGAATCAGTTCTGCTGGTACTTTTCTTGCATGCTACCATCATAGATCAACATTCTCTGGTGATATTCCTCCATGATGCTATCATAGATCAACATTCTCTGGTGATATTCTTCCATGCTGCCATCATAGATCAACATTCTCTGGTGATATTCTTCTATGCTGCCATCATAGATCAACATTCTCTGGTGATATTCTTCCATGCTGCCATCATAGATCAACATTCTCTGGTGATATTCTTCCATGCTGCCATCATAGATCAACATTCTCTGGTGATATTCTTACATAGATCTTCTTCCTCTGGGCATATTATGAGATGAGAAAAACTTGAATACTGATCTTCTTCTTAGCATTCACCCGGCTGTGAACTGTGGCAGAAAATTATGGTTGCTTGTCCACTCCTGGACTTCGGTCTTGATCCAGAACTTAAGTTTTGCATGCATATCCATTTTACAGATCTGGCTTATTTATGTGCTCCTGTTGGTTCTTTTCTGCTCAGGAAGATGCACTCTGACTTTGAAGGCAACACCCCTGCTGTGAAAGGCTTGTTAAGTGGCAGTGATTTATTCTTTGTTCTCCAAAATGGAGCCCCAGAACCCACACAAGGAGGAGTGCTTATGACAGGGAGGAAGTTAGAGGAGAGGCAGAGGTAGACCAAGAGAGAAGATGTTTGGCAGTTTGGCATCATGGATAGGAAGAACATCTGAGTAAGAAGTATCAGCATTACACGAGACAGAATGCTTTGTACAAGAATGTTTACCAGGGTCAGACAGCAGGCACTAAAAGAAGACTGTCTTAGACTAAGTAAAAAAAGTAAAGGCCCCTTTTCCACGCCTTTTGGCGTATAGGGCATGTAGGGCTAGACCTAGATTTTTATAGACCAATCGGCACAAGATGGTTGATGTGGTCAGCATCACGCCGACCCCCCTTTACTTCCCGGGACTGCACCCGCTACCCACTCAAGGCTGGGTCGAACTGGGAGCCAAGGTCATTTTTAAACAAATGTTGGGCTCCGCCAGAGAGCGACCCACGACTCTCCGATCCGCGGCGAGCTTCTAGCTCTTCCGCCACGGGGACTCTCTCTGTCTCAGACTATTCAGTATAAATATTCTTGGTCAGCCTCTTCTACCATTAATTTTTCCAGTCATCACAATGTTCTGCAATGACTCCCTTCTCAGGGCGTTATACTCCTATATTTTCCATCTGATGTTGTGATTGTCTCATTCATTTATTATAACTTTTAGCTTTGTCCCCTAATATCAGACTTCTGAATCTGAGGTTCACAACATGAACCACATGGGCACAGCTAAAAAGCATTTCAAATGAAAACTGCAACTCACAGTGTTCGGTTAGCTTTTTAACATATTTATTTTGTTCAGTATTCCAATGTAGGATTATTATTCCAGTATACAGAACTGTGTGAATAGCTGTAAAAGCTTTTTTTTTTTTTTTTTAAAGATCGACCCCTTCGGGACCAGAACCCAGGACCTTCTGATCTGCAGGTGAGCTTTTAGCTCAATAATTTTGTGGCAGGACTTTATCTTTTCATTCACATATGGAGGAAACTGCTTTAGCTAACAATTGTGAGAAGCAAAAACTTAGTCTTGGCTAAAAAATTGAAAAAAAAAAAAAGGGAAATTCGCCTATCCATCATTTTGACTGAAAGTGCTGCACAATTCAAGAAATCATTGATCTGAATTGCTTGCAACTGTATATTAGTCAGATTGAGGAAGTGATAATGTTCTAGGGAAACTACAGTGAATGTTGAAGAGGATTAGCTGTAAGCCCTGGGTAACAACCAGATGAAGATATTGATTAACTTCACACCTGGGGAGGATTATTGTGTGTATGATGATTAACATTTCTGTTTTGGCTTTATCACTGCATAGGTTTCACAGCCAGATTACTGGAATTATGACCTGAAGTCAGAAACCTGTGGCCTAGATGTGATTTCCATACCAACCAATATGCCTCGACCAGTGCACTTAGCTTTGTTTGGTCACCCAAACAGCTTTGTGTCCAGGTACAGACTGTCCATCTATGAGGTGGACGATCCGGCTGTGGATGACTATGAAGCACTGGTGGATAAATATGAAAGGTATGTAAATTCAATATGTTTGTTCATGGCTAGAGGCTGGGTGATCTTCCTCTGTGAACACTAGCGGGAAGGTCCTAGTTGGCTATCTGTGTCTGGACTTCGGTCTTTTTCCATGACTTGAGTCTTGCATGCACATTGATTGTTGTGTGCAGATGACTGGTTCTTCATCTCTCAGGCAGGTTTGCTCGAGCTGTGAATGGATCAAGAATTGACATCCTGCATTTCGGGACATTGCCACGCATGCTGCGTTACCTTTCTTCGGTAGCTAACAAAAAGTTGACATTCTAATATCACCAGTTGTAACCTGATTAAAAGTCCACCTTTGTTCCCCCCGCAGTGTTGAATATCTTTCAGAATCTCCACTCACCTCCCTTTAAATTAGTCTTTCAGTGTATGGATTGTCTGTTTTGTACATTGCACTGTCCATTTAATCCCAGAGAGCTTCACTGTGTTTGCTTTTATTATTATTGAAGGAAATGTTGATCCTATCTACACTGGCTGGACCCTCACTAGGAAGCCTGTTCATAGGATGCAGTATAGGCAGGTCTTGACCAGTATGAGCTGTGGTCCTGGTGCATCACCGCAGGTGTGGTGTTGGGGCTGATGATGAATCATGATGTTTATGTCTTCCTCCTCCTCTTCACTTCCTCTTTTACCATCCAAACAGCTTTGTATCCAAGTACAGAAATGAAATGGATGATCCTTTTCTGGATGATTATGAAGCAATGGTGGATAAATATGAAAGGTATGTAAATATAACCTGTGTGTTCAAATGTAGGTGCTGGTAATGTTGTATGATGTTTGTGTCTTCTTTTCACTTTCTCTGTTGCTGCTTCAAGTGTTGAGGTAGATGCTGCATTTTGGTTCTCGCTCTGTTGGTTGTCTCAACCACTGACATTGATTGCATTCTCTGCAGCAGTTCTTGATGCATCATCAGCTTGCTAAGTCCATTGCACAGTCTCACTTTACCAGAGTCACAGTAGCCAGACAGCTTGTTGAGACATTGAACCCGTCATTTACAGATTGCGAGGAAAATGGCTTGATCCCTTTGTCATGGAAACCATCTTTTGGAAATAAGGTTCTAATTAAATTAACGGGTTGCAAATTTCTGTTACATTTTTTTTTTTTTTAAAAGATATTGTTATAAAGATCAAGAAGAAAATTAGCATTGCACCAGTTAACATAGTGAAACACTACCAAGGCAATACTAAAAGCCATATCTCAAAAGATATGTAAACATCCCTTTTCCATGCCCTTAGGTGTATTGGGCTCATAGGACTAGACCTGTATTACAAACAGCAGTTGGTTGGTGATGTGGTCAGACCTGGTACCAATCACTCGGTAGCCAATGCATTTAAACAAAAAACATCAACTCTGCCAGAACCCACACCCATGACCGTCCAGTCCGCAGGTGAGCATCTGGTTGCTTCACCACAACTGCTTCCCTTCTGAAAAGATATATAAATTGAGTGCTGCCGCTCCTATGGGTGGTGAGCTGCATTGTGAAAAAAAAAGGAGAAATGGTGAAGGCTCTCTGGGATCAAGTGGACACTGCAACAGAACAGACCAAGGATCCACACATTGACAGACAGATTCAGCAAGTGGTTTAGCAGGAGGTCTGAAAGGTATTCAACACTGTGGGAAAAAATAGGCAGACTTTCAATAATCGCAACAGGTACAGTTAGCCTATTGAGCTTCTTCTTCTCTTCCACCTTGTACCTTGGTGAAGGGGGCAGGGGAGAGCTTATGTAGCACCTGTGGGAATGTCCCTAGTGCAGGGATGTTAGTTCTTAATTCATTAATTAATTCATTGATTGAAAGATATCTAAAGTAGAAAAGTAAACGATCTTTTTCACACCTGTTGCATATCGAGCATATTAAGTCAGACTCATGTTTGTATACCCCAGTCTGCACTCAAAGGGTGATGTGGTCAGCGCCGCACTGATTTCTGATAAGATAGATGACAGAAAATATAAATTAGGTAATTAGTTAGTTAGTCCACAGATTATTCTCACTGCAGATTGAACCATTTCACTAAGTGCTCGGACCCACTCCTTAGTCAATCCTGCAGTGTGTTTTGGCTGACGACACCAGTTCTGTGTTGGTTTCTTGTTCTTCTTTGGCTTCCTGCATAGTGCTCTTGTCCGGCCACACACCTTTTAACATGTTCTTGAGGTCTGGTCATTGTTGCAGATTCACAGTCGTCACTTGATTCTCTCAAAAGTCTTATTTCTCACAGAGCATATGTAAAAAAAAAAAAGAATTAAAAGATTTATTATAAAACCGGTAATGGGAATATTTTCAGGCAGTGTTAAATCAACTGCATTCGACTAGTTACCCCTTACATTGTTTGCCTTTTCAAAGCACTTTGTTAACCGAGTAGCTGTTATAATAACCTGTGTTAACTCAAATGTTACTTGAGGGCCCTTTTGGTGCCTTACTACTGCTGTTTAACCTCTGTAGATATAAACAACAACAGTAAGTAAAGCAAAAAATACCTAGGAATAAACAAGAAAAGTAATACTTTTTTTAAAAAATTATTTACAACGGATCATCATCATGGCACAAGGGTAGTAACCCATAAGTGCTCCGTTCTACTTTTAAACCAAGCCTGAGTCCGAAGAATCTCAGCGCAGTACACGAACTCTGCTGCACCAGCGAGGATCCTGAAATACTTTGAGTAGATTTTTAACTCCAACTTTTGTCCGGGCAGCGCTGTTAGGCTACTCTTTTAGATTTCCAACTGCCAAGGGATTTTTTACGTGCACAACAATGCACATGGGCGTCCAATTTCACTACCCAGAGACCAGGGGAAATTACTAGAAGTCCACGTGAAAAAATCCCAGTCTTCACCAGGGCCTGAACCCGGGACTTCCAGCACTTGAGGCGGACGCCATACCTCGAGACCATGCAGCCCCCTGATAAGTAATACTGAAAGAGTTAAAGCAGTAGTTTTAAAAGTGGGAGGATTAACTTAATTTGCACCAAGTTTTAACGCAGCTGGATCACTCTCATCCACTTAGTTGCTACCCACCTGCTGAGAATGTCAAACAAGGCTCCATAGCTCCAGTAATGACCCTGAAGCATCACTGAGAAATTGCACTCTTGAAACAGGGATGCAGTCCGGCAGTTACAGCCTTCAAAGTATAAGGCAGTAGGTTGGACTAAAACAATTTTTGTGCAGAGGTAGAAGTAGACACTTTTAAAATCTCAGTGAAGGTTCTGGTGATGGAATACAGTAAACATAAGCTCTTGGTTAGTTGAAGGACCATCCTCATTACACCTCAGAACATTTAGTCAATCAGTGTTTAGATACCCTCCTCAGTAAATCTCACAGTGTGTGTCAGCTGAAGACACAGGTTCTGTGTTGGTTTATTATACTTCTTTGGCGTCTTTCATAGTGCTCTTGTCTGGTCTCACCTATTTTACTTGCTGTTCATGCAGTAGGATCAGGTTTGCACATTCACAGTTATCACTTGATTCTTGCAAGTCTTTATGTACAGCATTGAGTATATTGAGTATATCAGCCTGGGAAGCTGCTCGCCTGCCCTACACAGTAGCCTCACCTGCAAGCCTGTCAGCCTCTTAAAACGTGAATCTGTATTTAGATATATGATGTCAGTAGTCATCTTCATCATCTTCCAAATTTTCTAGAAAATTATAGTTTATAGTCCATCATTTTATGAGTGGCATACCATATTTATTTTTTATTCTGTGTGAATCTTGAATGTCTATAATGTCATTGATCTGACAGGGTGCCCTCTTTCTGTCATTTAAAAAATGTTCTTTGATGAAAAACCTGTGTTTATAACAGATTTGGCTGCATTCTTTTCAGATATCCAAACTATTGTATATCTTCTGTTTCTGAATGTATGTGTTGTTCCCATTTTCTGACAGCAAAGTTTCTCACTTGGTCTTATCAGTCTTAGATGGTTGAACTGGCAACTTACATACGGTATCTCACTGATTATAATGCTTGTTTCAAATTAAGAAAATAAATCTGAAAATTGTTGAACATAGAGCTTTTCTTGTTAAAGGCAGTTCATTATGTTTTATTTATTATATATTTGAAAGTAGTCTAAATGGTCAGCTTGGTGCGTCTCAAGCAGTATGTCAATCTTGGTGAAGCTCAATTCCCTCCAGGTGGCCATTTTCTAAGCAGCTGCTATCCCTGTGGATACAGTTACCAGTCTGCGCCCAGGTGTAGGTGGGGTTAGCTTGTGCGATCATGGGACAGTAGCAGGCTGACCACGAATTAGCCATTTAGAACACAAAACTAACAAATAGTCTGAGACAGAATATACAAATTTGCAGGACATCAGGAGCCTGTCTTGGCAGTGGTGAAATGTCACAAGCTAGCTGGGTTCAGGCTTATGGTGAGACATGATCCAGTTGCAAAGACTGTACTTCAAGGAACATTGGGAGGTGGTAGTTGAAGAAAAGGGCAAAGAAGAACCTGGAATGACATCAAGAAATGGACAGGACTAATTTATCATGCACTTATTCAACAAGCGGAAGACAGAAAGATGGTGGATTTTGTGTGCTAGTGCTTCAATCGATACACGTCCATGACCTAATGGTCAAATGTTATGTTACGTTAAGACCAGGAAATAGAATTTGGCTAAGTGGACATGCTTCAAATATGAGTTATGAGATAGATTATTTTCACAGCACTCGGGACACATCCATAGGCGCTCAGATTCCCCTCTCAACTTATTCATCAGTGTTGTGTGGTTAATAGTGCCAGTCCTGTGTTGGTTAACAAGACTTTGCATCTGGTGGGCTTCTCATGCTTGGCTGTGCCAGTCTTTACTCCCAATTCACGTATTCGTAGTGGTGACGTGGACACGTTGCTTCCAAAATCCTCAGAATGTCTTATCTCTTAAAGGGCAATGACAATGTCTGCATGATCCATGGGCCGGCCACCTGCAATTAAATATGTAAACATCAAATCCGTTGCATCTGACTCAGAGAGATTGAAGGATCTGATCAGACAGTCAACAGCAGCTGGTGACCCGACAACATCTAGCGTTATGGGATTATAATGATGATGATTGTAAACTGTATTATTAATTTTTTTTTTTTTTTGTTAAAAAGGTATTACTATGAGGAAATGAATGGAGGGTCGTATGAGCCACCAACTGAAAGAGAAACATCTTCAAAATCATCATCCAGTAAAGCACAGAAAGCTGACCATCGAGCCGAAGTGGAGCTTCCCTTGTGGATGAATATATTAATTGACACCCTAAAGTTTATTATTGAGGTTAGTATTGCACTCGCACACAAATGCATTTAATTAATTTAGGTCAGTTTCAAGGATCTAGGAACATGTATAATATGTATTATATAAAATGTTACGCAGTGAAAGCAGTGACAAACTACTGAACATAAAATTGCCTAGTAAAACCACAAACAGCTTAGAAAAATACTGTTGTTGGCTGTACAGCCTCCTATAAAAGTCATTGCCCCTTTTAAAACATTCCCAAGCCCGGCTCTCTAGCGTAGTTGTCTAAACCGGATTGCGCGGTGACTGGGTGACGAAGTCCTTGTGGTCCGGGTTCACTCCCGGGGGTAGGCAGAAAAACCACATTCTCCCAGGTTTACGGTATTTACAATGGAATCAAGGCCAAAAGGTTGCAATATCCATAATACCGAGCCTAAGGGTTAACAAATCACGGCTTCTGGATACTAAAAACAAACAACTAACATTCCCAAAGCAAGGTTAAGTGAATAAAACGAAGGTTTAGACTCACTCTTCTAGAATAGACACCAACCAGCCAGTCATGTAGCCATCTAACAAATCAACCAAACAATTCCCCCATGTGGGTTCCAGGGCCCTATTGTGGGGAAAACAAGAATAGAGCCACTGCCTCCCCAAAAAGCATGTCCTAAGAGTCGACTAACTGGGGAGCTTCCTTTGAAGTCGGAGTGCATCTGCCTGAGAGGCAAGGAACCAGCAGTCTGCATTCAATTGAATCAGATCTGTAAAACTGATGCACACGCAACACTCAGGTTCTGGAGCAGGACTGCAGTCCAGAAGTGGACGAACAACCAGAACTTTACGCCAGAGTGTACAGCTGGTGAACGCGAAGAAGAAGAAGAACCAAACAATCAACTACATTTATACACCCATTTGTGCATGCATTCATTTGTATATTGTACATTTTGTGTCATTGAATATTCAAATTTTAACATGCTGGTTGTTTGCTGTCAGCCATTTCTATGTGTTATTTTTTTATTATTTTTTTATTTCAGGTTATATTGTGAAGGTGATAAGTAAATTAGCAGCTGCAGGAGGTAATTCTTACATTGTGAAATTCCTGGATAATTAAACACCAGTAGATTATTCTTCAATTGTTAAACATTAATTGATTGTCTTTAAAAAAAAAATTTAACCAGATATGTGAAATATATAATGTTTCTGGTTAACTCGTGTGGCTTAAAGTAAAAAATAATTTTTTTTCTTTTAATGTCTTAACATTAATAGTCACTATTATGTTATCATTCATGGATGCACCGAGAAGACTTATCTTTACTATTTTCTTTTCACAGTGTCATTGCCCCAATGTATATATATAAATATATGCAGGAGATGTTTGCTTTGATAAGCTGCCATTTTGTCTCAGGACATGTGAATGAGTTAATAATTATTATAATTACTGTTATAGATATGTCAATGTTATTCAGTTTATTGTCACTAATGTTTTTTTTTTAAAATCAAATTGTTAGACAATTGTAAATGATTTGTAACCTTGTTCCTAACATTTTAAAATGAAGAAATAATATGGGTGACCAAAGAAGACTGTCTCTTGATAATTGTGTTTATCGATTATGATCCTAGTCCCACAGCTCCACAATGTGTGCTGAGAAAGTCAGAGACAGGTATGCTCCATGTAGAGTGGCAAGCATCCCTACAAAGATTCTGGGTAGTTGGCATCTTTTTGATACTTTCTTCAGGTCATGCAGGTGCAACCAGGCAGACAAATTGACGTGTTCTGAATCGGTGTAAATGTGTGCATGGCAAGCAGGATGTTGTCAAGGCATTTTGAGACTGACTGAACAGTGCCTGAAAGAGACAGAAGTGCAGCAAGAAGGGACCAGGGTATCTGACTGACACTCAACACAGGGAAAAGGCAGGACAGACATACAATCAGTCAGATGGCTCCTTGTAGCAAAGGAATTGGAACTAAAGATGAAGCCAGGGCACTTATGTGAGTATCCCAGGTGCTGTGATGTCAGTTCTTAGTTCTACTCAACTCACAGGACTAAAGCTGGTGGCTGTGAGCATTTATGCATTAATTTATGAGAAGATTACTTGGTTTAGGGGTCAGGAATGCAGTTTCATAGTTCCGTAAAGCCAGGCTTCAAAGTCGGCGCCAGCACCATTTTTTAAAGGCATTTTTGTTGTGTTTTTTTTTGTTTTGTTTTGTTACAGTAATATACACTCTGTGGTGTGGTGTCTTCTTTTCTTTCATGGGTTGTAATCAAATCAATCAATCAATCATGGGTTGTAAAGTTGTGGCCATTCGTCCACCTCTGGACTTGAGCCTTATTACAGAACCTGAGTGTTGTGTGCATATCAATTGTACAGTTCCGACATATTTGTATGCAGACTGTTGGTTTCTTGCCTCTCAGGCAGATGCACTAAGACTTCAACAAAAAAGTCCACAGGTAGTTGCCGGATGACATGCTGGTTTGGGAGGCAGTGAAACTGTCCTTGTCTTTTCCACAATGGGCCCTGTAACCCACATGGGGAAACTATGTGGTGTCTACCCACACCTTTTATTAAACACTTTTTTTTTTTCCCCAGAAGAAAAATACGAAGTGTCTGTCATACCATTCTGAAAACAAGGGCTGCTGCAACTACACATAACCACCCACACTGGACAGCAGGTTTCTCTGAAACTGTTGCATGCCCCAGTATGACTTTTGTACAGTTGAACAGGGATTCTGGGATTTGATGCTGCTGACTTGGCATCAGAATAGTGACTTTTGATTCATCAAGTGAGAAACGGCTGGCCAAATGGATAAGAACACAGGTCTGTAATTTGGGGTTTTAGGGTTTGAATCAGAGTAAGATTGGAGGTTTCCTCTGCCGGAGGCAAAAATAAAATCCTAATCTGCACAGTCGTGACGACAGCACTAGCCATGCAGACCTAAGGCTTAACTCTTTCAGGCCCATGAATTTTGACTTGGCCTCCATTAATTTCCCTTTACAAAAAGGGCAGAGAGGTGGGTGAACTAGAAAGGAAATAGAGAATGTAATATATTTCTAATCCTAATTTGAGTATATATATTTTTAAAGAGAAAAGAATGTACATTTTGAATCTGATGATAAGTGTGTGCTTAATTTTTTTTTTAGTTAGTAGGAAAGAAGAATTCAGCAGGTGTTAATTTCACAACAACAACATTTTACAAGCAAATTCTTCACTTACCATAATTTTGAAGCCACACGGGTAGTGAATATCCTAATTTGAGAACAAAACTTCAAAGTTTGTTCAATTTTCTAAAAAAAAAAAAAAGTTTCCAAAGTTATAAGTTTCTGGGTTAGTTTAGCACTCAGGGACTCTTAGTTCTCACAGAGGGCTGAGAAAAATGTTAGACAAAAAATGAGCCACTACACACACGCTATTTACTTTGTACAGTTGTTTACAGACTGTAACAGCAATGATTTCAATGAAGCTTAGCCATAGTATAGTACAATCTCTTTGTTTAGAGCACTTTCCTTCTCTTACACCATAAATACAGTAGCAATGTGACATGTGTAATAAACTCATCAGAGTCGCTAGATTCAGAACAGCTTATCGCTCAGCTTCGCTGGTGAAAATGCCACGTCCAAACCACTTTCCAAAAAATCTAAATTTTCAATCATTATCAGAATTAAAAACAACTGACTGAAACAATTTCAGAGCTTCGGTCACAGAAAGATGCATTCTGCAAACTGTGCTTGTGGTGCGAACATTGGTATTCATGGCACTCGAAAACAACTTAGAAAATGCAATGTTAAAAAAAATATCCGTTCAAATTGTGCGCGTGTGATTTCTAATAATGAAAGTATCTAAAAGTATTTCGACAGAGTGACTTTCCCTGGATAGTTTAATCGTACTTCCGAATATTAGAAACAGGTATGTGCGAAGCAAAATGTATGGGATACACGATCGCCGATGACAGCATTGTTTGGGCAAAACGGAACTTCTCAGTCAACGCTCACACGGTTGCTTGGGCCTCAAAGAGTTAAAGACCTCCCCTGTCTACATCACAGAAGTAAAATACATGCAGTTTTTATTTGGCAGATTCATCGGGTATAAGTCTTTGAGGCAGTAACCTTGGAGGGGTAAATATTTAAAAACTACAGAACATAAAATTGCCTTAAGAATTACACAACAGCCAATAAATGCTGGGGTTAATTTATGACATCCTAAAGACTTTTCTTCTATGTTGAGTTTGCAGAATGTCATGGAAAAAGTTGTACGATATTTCCCCAAGTATATGACAATCTCATGTATGAGAGACCACACGTATAAGGTGCACCTTCATTGTGGGACCGGAAATTCTGATAAAAATAATTTAATTAAAGTTACTGAGCTCATGTTTTATCATTTATAAAATCCAGAAAACACCAGTTCACTTTCAAAACTTTCATTCATATGATAGTTCTTTAGCTTGTCATTGTCTGTGCCTGATGGCTAATCACTGTCTTCATATATTTATTGCTCATCATCAGTTCCATCTATGGCATGTGAAATGGCACACCTCTTGAATGACTTGAAAGAGATCCTAGTCTTCACACTGTCCCAGGATCTTTTCACCCAGGTGCAAACTTCTCCTGTAGTTGGGTTTTTTTTTTTTTTCAAACTACCCGCTGGTGCCAGATTGTCACCAAAAGACTGTTGCACCTGAACCAGCATTCCAAAATGAGAGGGGACAGTGTGTGCTCGACGCATGGTGTCCACCTTGAGTGCTAGAGCTTCCGGGTTCAATCCCCGGTGGGGGCTGAGATTTTGTCATGTTGACTTGGACTTCTAGTAATTCCCTCTGGTCTCTGTGTAGTGAGATCGGACGTCAGTGTGCATTATTGCGCACGTAAAAAAATCCCTTGGCAGTTGGAAATCGAAAAGAATGACCTAACAGCCCTGCCTGGGCAAAATTTGGGGTTAAAAATCTACCTAAAGTATTTCAGGATCCCTCACGGGTGCAACAGAGCCTGTGCTGAGCTTCTTCAGACTCAGACTTGAGTTAGAAGAAGAATGGAGCACTGATTGGTTATACCTGTGTGCCATGATGTTGATCCGTTGTTCAAAACCTCAATCCAAAATGAGGCTGTATATTGGATATTTTCTGACAAATCATTTGGTAAAAATCTACTACCATTTTATAAGATGTCTTATACTTTGGGAAACATGGTAATCAGCTAGATTAATTTCTAAATAAAAAAAAGAGACTTGTTTGTCTGGTGTTTTCAATTATCTTGGTCTGTTTGCACGATAAAGTGTGAAGATGTAATCAACCAGACTCATTTTCCTATCAAACAGATGCATGTTTCCTTCATCCATGATTATTTAAATGACTGAAAAACTGAATACACCTCCTCCACTTACAACCTAAATGACTTATGACCATCCCCACTTATGAGGTCAAACAAAAAAAAAGTAAATATAGTGAAAAGAGAAAGATGACTACATTAAAAGAATTTAAAAAAATTATAGGAACTTATGCTGAGAGGTGCCTTCTTCTTCTCTTCCACCTTGTATCTCATCGAAGTGTCGAGGGAATCTGTAACATTCGTTGATGAGCTCTGTCAGGAGCACTATTAGGACTGATGTTCATTTCTGTAAGGCTGTTCTTAATGCCATCACTCCATTTTTTCCTAGGTCTACCTCTCGCTCTATACCCGTTGTAACATTTTAGTGTTTCTCGCTGTGGCAGATAGTATAGATGCCTACGTTTAATAATAATATGTACCTAGATTTAATTTTTGTGTTTTATGTACAATTTTTTTAACCCCTTTGAATAATAAAATAATTTTGAAAAATTTGATTTCTGTTTACAACCAGTTTACCTAACGATCTGTTAGTTGGAGCAGAATTTAGTCATAAATCAAGGAGACCATGTATTGGATTCTGTATTTGTTTACTCAGTGGTCCAAGTTCAGTCCCCAACTGTGATAAGTTTAATTTTTTTTTTAAACTAGAATTGTGATGTCAACTCAGTTTCTTGAAATTAATAACTGAAAATTTCCTGCGTGCTTCTGTGAAAGAATGGCGGTAAAAATTGTACAGCGTGTGAGTTTATTAGCTTCCATGACAGCACCCTGATATCTCTGGAAAACTTGCATTCATGAAATGATTAGTGTAATCTGAAAACAAACCTGTAGTCTTTAAATGAGGCAGGTAGCCAGGCAGCTTGACCACTTGAAAAGAACGATCCCCTGATAAACTAAACATGCACTCACTGTTCATGATCATTCAAATCTTTCTCTGGGCATGCATGTGTAAAATGAAGTGATCAGGCTGATAGGCTTGCAGGTGAGGCTTCAGTGAAGAGTAAATGAGCAGTGGGCCAGACTGATATGCTATATGTGATGTTAAGACTCACGAGATCCAGGTGATGACTATAAACCCACAACCATGGTCAGACTAAGAACAGCAAATGAAAAGGGGGGAAGCCAGTAAGCCATATAAGTAAGCCAAAGCAAAAGAGAAATCAAGACAGAACTGGTATCATCAACCACTACATACTGCAGAATTTACTGAGGAGTGGATCCCAGCACTTGTGGGCTGAATGTTTCATTGTGCATTGAAGATAATCTATTGACTAAGTAGTTCTCTGTTTATATTCAGCCGAATAAGAAAAATCACTGTTTCAGCATTTTCCAACATCTTAGTGATTGTTAAATTGTTATCAAGCTGCCAAATATGTGAATGTAAATTGTGATCAGTACTTTAAATGTAGATACTTAACACTATTCAGTATTGTTCAAGACATCTATGTTACTGTGCACCTTTCTTCTCACCCCCCCCCCCTCCCACCCATACATTAAATCACAAGAAGAGAAAATAACCACACAAAGCTCTTACGATGTAAATGTGCAAAAATTAAAACAATTTTATTTTAAACATTAAATGTTATTACAGCTGTGCAGATGAAATTAGATCACAAAGTAAAATTGATAATAAATTACCATTCTGGATACATAAAATCCAAGTGCAGATTAGTAAAAATTTATTTAAAAAAATGACAAAATGGATAACAAAAAAGTTGTTAAGTGTATCTTATTTGCTGCAAGTAATTTTTCTTATGAATATATCCAAACTCAGTTGTATGTATGGAACTGTTGACTGTTGCATGGAGTAAATTTGATTGGGTCCAGCCATTAAGTTGCTGCTTTTGTTTTCCCATAGTAAGAACCTAAATGAGTTCACAGTATTATAAAAGGTGCATCTTTGTATGTAAATAACTTTGCTGCAGAGAGCTGTTAATGTAAATGTGTGCAGTAAAAAAAAAACACCCAGATAAGATACATTAAAAAAAAACCCATAAAATCTAGTCTTTATTTGACAAGAAAATGTAGTTCTACAAAATCTAGGGCATATGACTGTAATGGTTGCATAACATACTAAAGAAACCATAAAATCTAGTCTTTATTCAGCAAGAAAACATATAACGGAATGTGAGGCATACGACTTTAATGGTTGCATAAAGGTGTAAATAAATAAATAAAACCAATGATAATGAGTGCATGCCTTTTTTCCCCCTGAGGGCTGCTACCTGGAAAGTTTGACACTCTGGGATCAGAAGGTCTGGATGGAAGACCATCAAAACCTTAATGTTTGATACTGTAAGTCTTAAAAACAAATCTTTACAGAAACAGACCAACAGAGCAAGGCCAGATACATTTCTGTAACTCCAAGGAAGTTATAATTAGGGTCGCTCAGGAAGATATGCTGCAACTTCAAAGGAAACGTCCCTCATTAGTCACGTTTAACATGTTTGTGGCAATGTATCTACCCAAACCCCTCTCTTTCCAACGGAGATAATTGGATAAATGAGTTTAGTTCTGTTCTTAGACTCCACATCAGTGATGCTGTAATGTCATTTTGTTCCAGCTCAGGAAAGTAATTAGTGTTTACCAGAATAAGAGGAAAATCCATTTGTCCTATCTACCCGAATTTGCAGTAAGACTTGGAGGACACAAACCATCCATATGGGATTGCCAGCCAAGGGAAAACGACAGCTATATCTTTTCAAAATCTAAATACAGAGGAGCATGTCACAGAACTAAAGTGGAGTAGCTATACGTTCATAAACTTCAATTGTTCGTTTCCTTCTTCTCACAACGTGACCACACAAAAATAATGAATGTCTCTTTCTGATGTTTGAAATAAGTTGTCTTCGAACCTTCACCTCTTTCAAAACGTCTGGGTTGCTCTTTTTTGGCTGTCCGTGGAATTTTAAGGATGCTTCTGTAAAATCACGTCTCTTCGCCCTCAAGAAATAGACTTTTTTAATTATCGTCCAGGAATTCATATCCGTATCAATGAAAACTGGCTCCATATCGCATGCGGAAATTTTAGTTCTAACCTCAAAAGGCGTGGATTTATTGCATAAAATGTTTTTCATTTTATAAACAGTAGTTCAAACAGAGCACTGTCTTGCGACTTTATCACAATCAGGGGTATTCAACTAAGTCTACCCAGGGGCCCAACATTTAAAAAATGGGGATAGTCGCAGGCCGAACCATAGAAAGATCATAAATATAATACTTTTTCTTTGTCACTACTTCTCTTTGCGTTCGGTTTCGTATGCTCAGGTCAGACCATCAGGTGGGTTGCCTCTATGAACTCGCATGTCAGCCGCAGGTCCTTCATGGTTCCACATAGCTTGCCCTGCACGCTTTGTTCTTGATATCAGGTTTCTTTTCGACGTTGTCGGTAGAGTGGGCAGGTCTGCAGAATGTGATCAGGTGTTTTAGTCGTGTCTGACAGGCACAGTGTGGGGACTGTAGTCTTTTTTTTTTATATACATATACTAATGCCCTTGAAGCAGAGGCTATTTCTTTGGTCATTCTTGACGTCGTTGCCTGGTAGGCGCCGCCATCCTATTTTATTGTTAACCTCCATCCTTTATCACGTGCATACCCATGCTTACCTTGATCCACGCTTCACGGACCCATCTAAGAAACGATAATGTGAATGCTGACCTATCAGTGCCTTTACCTCTGTATCTACAGTCGCGGGAGTCCTGATCCCTGCAGTACCTCCCCAGTGTGATGAAGCCCTTCGAGATGCCATGCATGTCTACTGGTGTATTTGTCCATTCTTGTCCGCGACAGATCTCATGTAGGTTAGTCACATACATGCTGCGTTCAATCTTCAGCATTGACCATCCAGGGGTGACCACTTCTGAGACGCATTATTTTTGTGTGTAGCTTTGTGCAATGGGTGGTTTACTTTTGCCTATTCTCTCATGTAAGCTTTGACTTTTGCAACTGTATGCGTGTTAGCCATCGTTGGCAAATCCAGGACATGTATGGCTTGATGAGGTGTCTTTTGTGCAGTCGATTATGAGTCTCGTGGCCTAACGTTGTACTTGGATTAGTATTTCTAGCTGGGTTCTGCTGACAGTGAGGGGCCCAGACCATAGTCAATGACGCTTACCACAAGGCCTTGATAATGACCCGTTGATGATGATGATAATAGTTTAACAAACAACTGATCCACAATGTTTACATTATAGCATCTTCTAAAGAAAACAAAGTTAGGGCCTAGATGCCATCATTCGCACAAACTCCTGATAGTTGACTCTGCCGTCCTCGTCGACATCCGCTTCCTCAATCATTTTATCGACCTCGTCGTCTGTCATCGGCTCCCCACAAGAGGTCATCACGTGACGCAGCTCGGGCGCTGTGATGTAGCCATTATCATCGCGGTCAAAGACTCTGCAAGAATGAGAACATTATTCGGTTGTTAGTTGTTGTTTTCTTGGCATGACTGTAAATGGGTACAAAATATTTAACGCCAATTCCAATAATTTTTCTTAGCATTTGAATTGTGACAAGTTTGTGTTGTTCATCCACTTCTGGACTTTAGTCTGGTTCCAGAGCTTGAGTTTTACATGCACATACTTTTTACAGATCTGGCTCACTTGTATGCAGACTGTTGGTTTCTTGCCCCTCAGGAGGATGCACCCCGAATTATTCGCCTTTACGATACACTTGCCAGGGAACAGTTAGTCCGCCGCCCCCTCCTTTTCCACCCGCCAACAGGTTCCAGAATCCGACCAGCGAAATTCTAAGCCAATACTTGTGTCAGAATGTAACATGGATCTCTATCGACCAGACCATAGTGTTTTGGGCACCGGAACAAGAATTCCTGTGGTAGCCATAGGTGTAACTGGAAGTGATAAGGCGTGGGAACGTTTTTATTATTCACATGCGCAAAATTATCGGTGTACACTACTGCATGGTCTACCCTGACAGTTTTCTCTCTCATTGTTATACACCCAGTTGCTCCATTCTCTACATTCTCTTGCAAATGTGATAACGATCTGGTGGAGATCGCTTTTGTGTGTGTTCCTGTTGACCCATTCCCTGTGTATTTTCCAAACTAATGCCTCAGCCCAAAAGGTATCCCCAGCTAGTGTCTAAATGACTTTCCTTTCTGCTACTGGTTTCCTATGAAATAAGGTAGCATGTGTGGGCATCTTTGTCTTTCTGACGACATTGTTCAATTGTGCTATACGGGGCTATGGGAGTCACAGCCCATGACGATAACAACTGAGTTGACTTGATTCAAGAACCGACATCACAGCACTCGTGGTATTCCCATAAGCGCTCCGTCCCCATTCTCAGAAGCCAGTAAAGAGTTATGATACTAATGGTGCCAGAAGGCTTCGATCTTGCCTTTCCTGTGAGCCTCGAGCATCTGCCTGAACTTTTCGTTACTCCCCACTTCATCAGTCTCGCCATACTGTGATGATCCATCTGCTCCTCTGAACTGTACACGCTCTCCCACAAGGCACTAATCACGTCTGTCTTATCCTGCTTCAGCATTCCACCAAGTTGTGCAGAGCCAGCCAGTCTATCTTCTGTTCATTTCCAATCACACCGGCGCATCCTGGTGAAAAGACCAAGACAATAGTCCTCACCCGTGTCCTCCTCAGTGAAGCATGCCACTCTGCATGATACATGCATGTTGATGTTAGCAATTACGGCTAGAAATGTAGTGATGTTTCTCTCCTTAGTACAAAGTCTTGGCAGTACTCCAATAACCACATGTCGTCTATGCAGCATGATCTTTCCGTCGGCCTGCCTTGTTTTCTCAAACAAAACCAAAAATGTTACAACTATACGTGTGGAACAAAGCATTGTTCAGAAACTGCAGAATCAGAAGAGCAGTGCTCTGTCCGCTCGTCAAACTTCCACCCTAGACCAGCTGCCAGTTAAAGCCAAGGGCCTGATCTGCCCTGCGAGAACATTGTTTTCAGACTGCATTTTGTCTTCTTTCTTAAGGCTGTCATTCTCACCATTGTATGTAGTATTGTTTATTTTGTGTGTGCTGATGAAGGCTCAGTAGCCGCAACGTTTACGTTTTGTTTGTATTTGTTATATTGTGAAGCTTGCTAATGCACTTTTCGTTCGGGTTTTTATCTTTTCTTGATATTGTGGGATGTTAGGCTTTCATGCAATGCATTACTTTCGTTATTGGTGACTCGCAAACTGACCTTGGCTTATGCCAGAAAATTACAGAATTTTGAAAGATTCTTTTCCCAAAGGGCACGACGTAGTCGAAGGAACGTGCAAATAAGTGTATTCTTCATGGAAGACTGTATTTTGAAGAGTAAAAATAAATTATTTTCACACAAGAAGCCAAATGTGCTTTGTTTACAGTCGCCTTTGAAACCATAGCTTCGTTCATTGTGGATTATGATGTGTGTGTGTGTGTTCTGCCCATTACTTTTAGCGCAATTGTCTTAGACAATTGCCACCGCCACCGAAGAGAAAACAATCTGGCCAAAAGGATAAATTCAAGCTATGGGACACCGGTGAAGACCTCAAGTGCACCGTCCACTTTATGTTCCATGTTGGAATAGATTGATGTTAAACGCTGATCGCTGAAGAAGAAGAAAAAGTGCTGTTTGATTGTCAGCAATATCGTTTCCACATTTGAAAAATGAAAGAAACCTGCAGTCATCTATTCTTAAATACACACACTAACCTAAAGGCTGCTAAAAGTTCATCTTCTTCCTGTTCCTGACTTTTTATTCCTCTCCTGGACATACCATCCACGAATTCTTTGAACTCGATTCTGCCGTTCTCTGTAAACAGAATGGCAACGTTAAATCTTGATGTCATTGCATTCACTAAGTAGAATCACAATGTTAAATAGCGCGCTAATTACATTCAGTTACCAGGATGACACCGTTAAATCTTGAAGTCATTGTATTCAGTTACAAGAATGATCGTGAAATCTTATTCATTTCATTCAGTAAACAAAATGACATCGTTAGATCTTGCGGTAATTACATTCAGTTACCAGAACGTGGCGCAGTGATTTATGTCACAGGCGTGAGGGAAAGTTAAGTCCAACATGATGTGTATAAGGAAATACTCCGTACATCACTCGGGCGCCAGTCCTTCACTGTTCTGGTTTTACGGAACCTCACGCAAGACCCCTGCAGCACGTCCTCGTCGTGCGCCACGGATAATGTCTCAAACGAGCATTAACAGAGCTGTCAGGGGATCTCGGAATTTGGCGGCCCCCAGAGGTGATGCGTCCTTGTGGCTCTCATCAGCCCGCCCTCAAACGCTTGGGTGAAAAAGGTTATCACAACTCATTAGGAACATGAGTGTGCTTGCCAAACGTACAGCTAAAAATCACAACCCTTGGTTAAAAGAATGCGGAGTGAAGAGAAGATTGCTCACTGTACATCCTCTATTAACCCTCAGTGTCGTCGTCACCGCGCTGAGGTACACCACAACAGCAACCATCCCTAGGCTGGTCATCCATGTACATCCTCGGTTAACCCTCAGTGTCGTCGTCACCGCGCTGAGGTACACCACAACAGCAACCATCCAGAGGATGGCCATCCGTGTACATCCTCGGTTAACCCTTAGTGTCGTCTTCACCGCGCTGAGGTACACCAAAACAGCAACCATACATAGGCTGGCCAGCCATGTACATCCTCGGTTAACCCTCAGTGTCGTCGTCACCGCGCTGAGGTACACCACAACAGCAACAGCCCATTGGCTGGCTAAGCCTAAATGTCCGACAAAACTAGATCCTACGGCACACGGGTGTGCCCAAAATCTGACCTCCACAATTTGTACTGAACGGAAAAAGACCAAATGTCCACACCCAAAGACCCCACTCGCCCGAGTGTTGGGACCAAACTGACAACGCTATGCCTGACGCACGATGTAAAATTCTCGGGCTAACGGCTCGTCAAAGAAATCTAACGTGCGAAGAAAAAAAGAATGTACCTATTCGTGTGGTCACAAAAGTACAAAATCCACAGGCTGCTCCCCGCTGACTTCCAGAGGGCGAAGCTCTTGTCGAGCGGGAAGCCTGATACGGTTGTGAGGTTAAGCAGGCATGTGCAGGACGTGACGATTCCTTGGGTGAGCCCAGAACCAGAGCGCCATGTGCCGGCTCTGCATACATGGAAGCCTCCTTGGATGGCGGGGAATGCCCATGATTTGCCCCTGCCTTTCCTTGAGGGCTTACTGTTCCACAGGGGGCTGCCCCAAAGGGGTACTCCGGGGGCAACACCTATGGAGAAGGAGACAAAGTGGACTCCACACAAATCAGGCAACGCCTTGACCCACACAAAACAATGGCCACAGTCAACCTAGAAATAGGCCTGACGTCTTCCTTCGAAGTCGGAGTACAGCTGCCCATGAGGCAGGAAACATTAAAACGGTTGTACACGCAAAAATCAGGTCCGGGTGAAAGCCAAAAGTCCAAGCGGACGATTAACCGTGACCTTCCGCCGGAATTGACAGCCGGTGAACGGGAAAAAAAAAGTTACCAGAACGACAAAGTTAAATCTTGCAGTCGTTATTTTCAGTTAATGAAAGGAACATGTTAAATCTTGCAGTCGCTATATTAAGTTAACAGAGTGAACATGTTAAATCTTGCAGTAATTACATTCAATTAACAGGAAGAACGCATGGTAACTGGGACATAAAGCGTCTATTAGGTTTGTCTATCCAGGTATTCTTCCTACACTAGCAACATCTTTGAATGTTGCCAAGTCTCACACATTCATAGCATCCTCGCACCTCTCTCACACAGCCTACACACAAACGTCATCAGCGCTACACATAACACACACTGGTTACTGGTGGACTTTGGTGTGCAACTTAGGAATGCCAGATATGAGCACTCTCTTAATGGCACAAGGATTTTAATTGGCGGATCTGTCAGTCATTACAAATACACATGTTACAGTAACGATACAGGTAGCGAGGTGAATTCTTGGGAACATGTCGTCATTGTCCGTTATGTTATGACAATCGACGTCCCTTTACATTGGTGTCGTGAAATGATAGCCATTACGCATCGGTCTGTAAGGCTGATAACCTGTCTTACCTGTAATCTGCACAAAATTCAAACTTTGACTCGCCAAGAAATATATAGTCCCTTATATCTATATATATAGGCCTTTATTGGACAACATTATTATGTCTGCCTTTTCTGGTTACTTTAACTAAACTCCACTTTTAAATGTATATCTCTTCGATATATATTCAGGGAGTTATTTGAGGTTTCTTTGAAACCGATTTACCCTTGCCCAAGTAACAAGGGATGGTTACCAACGCCTGAAGTGTCTAAGTGACGCTATTCTCCCAGCTATCAAGCGTAGATGTGTTAATCTGTGCCTGTATAAATTTCACTTTTCAAGAAGGAATGTCTAAGTTTTTACACATGCTTGGGTACGAGTACCTAGAATGATGTCTGTAAAGTAGTCACTGCTGTAGCTAAGTTCGGCTGTGTGATCCCACTAGGTCCGTTCTTGCTAGCGGATTCGAAAAAAACGTAGATCTCCCACTGCGACTAAATAACTTATGCCCTCAATAAATCACCCATACTCGTAAAACTTAATACCCAAGTATGTACGTTTTAAACTAACCAGAGAATCTGTACATACGAAATGGGGACAGAATTGGGTCAGGGCTTTGTTAATCATTGATGGTGATCGGTGGATGGTAAGGTAGTGAATGCAGTACTGACAGTAAATATTGCTGTGCTGGGTGCGGAGAGAGCGGGGGGGAGGAGAGAGAGCTGATATATGTGTTAGACCACTTATCTTCTCCACTGTATATCTGACTTGCTTCTCTTGCACTCAACAGACAGATAAATATAGGAGACATGTCTTTTGGTCCTCTGAGGAATGAAAACAGAAGTGGGGGGGAGTCAGCAGATGTCGTTGATGACTGATGCTTGCTCGTCAAGATGTTACCCTCTTGGTGATGACTAATGTTGAGTTATTTTCTTGACAGGATGTATCTTTTGTGAAGAGCTGCAGAAGTTTCACAGTTCCACCAACCATCAAACCACCAGAAAACAAACTGTTACCCACCCATCTAGTGAAGGTTTGTGACGGAGTTCCAACATGTGGGCGACGTTACCTCAGGCTACCAGTGCTAGAGCGTAGTGTGGAGAGAGACATTGAGCCTTACTGGTGATAGAGACTTGCTAGGTACCAGTACAGTGCTGTGTCCTCTATGGTGAGGTACTCTCTTACTACTTGATCCAGTGGAGCAGAATTCCCAGAGTCAAAGACAGTCGAATCATCCGGAGCTGAGGGAGGCATCATAGACAGAAAGAAGAGAAGCTAAGTCTGATACTTCGCATGATGTTGTTTTTTCCTCACAGCTCCTTGGTTCCAATGATGACCACCTCAGGACCGGCTGTTAGGACTAGACATTATTGCTGAGATTCTTTCACTGATAGCTGGAATTCACTTCAATTGTTTTTTGTACAGATATTCTATTGATTACATGCATTCATTTTTCATTGACTTAGCTCTAGCACCTTTTCAGTGTTTAAGCAGTTTCATGTACCTTCATTATATGTGTTAAACATTTATGATAATGAACTAGCCCTGGGGGCTTTCTTTAGTAAGTAGTGGGGGTGTCCAGCCATCAGAAATATTGTATGGGTGCCAATACTTGAGTATACTCCAGAGGTTGAGCGTATATCGGGAAGGGGCCAATGGAAAACTCTGAGTGCTGTGGTTCTGAAAAAAAAAGGCACGCGACAGGAGTGATTGCACAATACTGTTAAGAGCTGAGAGTTTATTGTTCCCACAAGAAGATGGTTACATTAAGATACCGAAGACAATGGTATTCACAATGGTCTCATAAAATTAGCGTAACGCACTAATAGTCCGTACAGATTTGATGGTGTCAGCTACTGTTCTTAACGCCAGCGGGTCTTGCTAATCAAACTCGCCATCGCCATATGCGGCTGGCAGACTTCTGCGGAGAGAGACTGAGCCTTATGGGAAAAACCCAGGTACAATGAAGTCAATCCTCTCGACTTTAACCCAGTATAACACATGTAGATCATAACATATCGTAGGGAAAGAAAAATGCTAACAACAACACAATGGTTACTATTTGGATCCATCTCCTTAATCAGTTCCTTCAGTTCAGCTTGGGTTGGGTTCTGACCAAAAGATCTCAAGACACACCCAAGCTCCTCACATGATATGCTCCCATCTTCGTTTTTGTCATATTGCCGGAAGGCATCAGTGATCTCTGCAGGAATATCGATAATAAGGAGGTAAGTATTCAAAGTCCCGCATCAAAAAACTTGTATGGTATATACACGGGGCCACGCAGGGGTGAAAGAGAATGAAAAAGTGACAAACTGGCTATATCTGGCTTCTAATATGGATGATTAATCCATTCTCTTCATGTGTTGCGGGGTCTGTGGCTTAGGCGTTGCGAACGCGATTCGTACTGCTGGGGTGGTGGGTTCGATTCCAGCTGCGGGCCTTGTGCCTTCCATCTATCCATCCATCTATCCATCCATCCATCCATCCATCCATCCATCTATCCATCCATCCATCCATCCATTTATGAAAAACAAAAAAAAAACAAAAAAAAACCAACCCCGTTCAACCTACTGCGAGCAGTATCGGTTACAGTTGTAGTCTGGTTTCTTTGAGCTTATTATTGTCACGGAGTGAACAACCAACCCTACACTTTGGACTATTCGTGACGTTGATATCCCTAGCGGGCAGGTCACATTTCAAATTTAAACCCGTCCGTGGGGGGGGGGGGGGGGTATACAGTCCCTTATAATGAAATATACCTCTATCTGGTGGAATAAACATTTCTAGACCCTCTATTTGTTTTGGGAAGTCTACATTTTCAAACTTACAACTATGGGATAAATAATTTCTGGAATATATTCCGAAATTCTTGAAAGCCTTTTTACTCCTTGGGCACTAATGCAGGACTTCTTTTCTAGAGACGCATAGCGGAATCTGGCACGGGCATTCTTTACCAGACCTCTGAGGTGTCGAAACGCATTTCATTCTCAAATTAAACTTTGACACATTCAAAATACCAGTTTAATCTTTGAAGGATTCCTAAGCTTGGGATGATACCTCCTTAGAGGTCAGGCAAACGAGTCACAGTCCAGCCAACAATCACCAACCCATACCATCCCCATCACCAAACCTACCCAAAATCGTACCTATTGTTGCCACAACTTCGACATGCAGGAGCTTGTGTGTGAGTTCAAGGGGCTGAGAGACAGTATTGCAGGCCACTTGTGTCATCAATCCAAGGAAGCCTTTTTCAGGAGCTTTGTTGGGCTCCAGCGCAGTTCCTTTGTCCTCATATGTGAGACGATCAGTGTTTACCAGATCAACCAGAGGAAAAGCGATTTATTAAGTCAGCCGGTTCAAATCACCATGGACTGATGGGGGCAATGACCTACCAAAGTGGATAAGTAACATCTGCGATGACATACCACATGTTCTATTTACATGTCTACCCATAGGCACTGTGATGATTCATGAACTCTCTGAAATTTGTCTGGCTGTTTCAACATCATCGCTTCGACGTTAAGTCCCGAAATCCACTCACTGGAAACCATCTTGATTGTCTTAGATAATTAATATATATATATGTTGCAATTGTTACATCCATTCAGAAATTTTCATGGCTGACTTGGGTGTCCCTGTTTCACCATTCTAACTGTCTCGCTTTTATGTTTGTGTGATTAGTAAGTGTAATCTGTGTTAACGTGGCTATGATAGTATGCTATCACGAAAACGCCCGCAAAAGAAGAGAAAGAAAGAAAACTGCGTAATACTGTCTATATACGCTGTACTGTAAATTCTGATTGCCTAATAATTAGTGCATTGGGATGCTGCCATTGCAGTCACGTGTTTTCTCTACAACAACAGCAATTACTACTACAATTACTACTACTACTACCACCAACACCACCACTACTAATACTACTACTATACTTCGACTACTACTACTGTGCAACTGATTCTGCTAATACCCTTAATACTACTGTATTATTACTGCAACTGTTTCTTCTTCTTCTTCTTCTTCTTCTTCTTCTTCTTCTTCTTCTTCTCTTCTTCTTCTTCTTCTTCTTCTTCTTCTTCTTCTTCTTCTTCTTCTTCTTCTTCTTCTTCTTCTTCTTCTTCTTCTTCTCCTTCTTCTTCTTCTTCTCTTCTTCTTCTTCTTCTTCTTTCTTCTTCTTCTTCTTCTTCTTCTTCTTCTTCTTCTTCTTCTTTCTCTCTCTTCTTCTCTTTTCTTCCTTCTTCTTCTTCTTCTTCTTCTTCTTCTTCTTCCTCCTCCTTCTTCTGCTCTTCTTCTTCTCCTCCTCCCCCTCCTCCTTTTTTCTTCTATCAATCCGTTGTTTTCAGCAGTTAAGTGTTAGCAGAAAATTCAAGACTCTTCCACATGTTCTATTGATTTCTTTAAGGTTGACTTTGATGCCTTTGCTCCATCTTTTTTCATAGCCTCACATAGCCATCTCCCACTCCACCCCTCCTCCACTCCTCAATGCAGCATGCTACCGCTGTTCTGTGCTAATGTTAACACGTTTCTAGAAATGCTCTGGCCTTATCTTTACTAGAACTGATTCTGGAAATGAACTACCGGATTCTGCTTTTAGCAAACATTATAAATGGTTAATCACGTGTGAAAATGTTCACAAGTTTACTTAGCCGTGGAACGAACATTGACCAGATCAGCTTGTCCTTACCTCGCATTTCATCATCCGTTAACTTTTCCTGTGGGTGAAATGAGGAAAAAGTTTATTGTCGCGGATTTTGAAACAATTGTTAATACATTTGACGTAAACATATTGGTGAGAGATAGAGACAGAAACAGAAATAGAGAGAGAGAGAGAGAGAGAGAGAGAGAGGAGAGAGAGAGAGAGAGAGAGAGAGAGAGAGAAATAGTGAGATACAGTGGGGAGTTACAGTCTGGAGGATGGGATGATGAGAGTGCTGAGGCAAGGAGTTGCAAGAGTAGCCAGACTGAATAGTCTGTTAGTGAGTGGTGAAACAGAGAGTGGCGAGATAGAGAATTAGCAATGGAGTAATGATAGTAGTTTAACAAAGAGTGGCAAGAGCAATGAGACAGTGTAGTGAGATGAAGATGGATGAGATAGAGGGTGGTCGCAGTGGTGAGACTGAAAATATTATTGAAATGGTGTCAGGGGAAAAACTGGCGAGGCAACGAGTAGCAAAACTGAAGAAAGTGAATTATGAGATAGAGAATGGTGAGAGGGAGATGGGTGAGTATAAAGGATGAAATTGAAAAGTGGTAAGAGGGAGATGGGTGAGGATAAAGGGTGAAATTGAGAGTGGCGAGAGGGAGATGAGTGCGGATAAAGGGTGAAACTGAGAGTGGTGAGAGGGGGGGATGAGTGCAGATAAAGGGTGAAATTGAGAGTGGTAAGAGAGATATGAGTGCAGATAAAGGATGAAATGAGAGTGGTGAGAGGGAGATGGGTGAGGATAAATGATAAGACCGAGAGTGGCGAGAGGGAGATGGGTGTAGATAAAGGATGAGACCGAGATTGGTGAGAGGGAGATGGGTGAGGATAAAGGGTGAAACTGAGAGTGGTGACATGGAGATTGGTGAGGATAAAGGGTGAAACTGAGAGTGGTGAGAGGGAGATGGGTGTAGATAAAGGATGAGACCGAGTGTGAGAGGGAGAGTGGTTAAAAGGATGAGACCGAGTTGGATAGAGGGAGTGGGTGAAAGAGATGGGTGAAAGGTTGTGAGACAGAGAGTGGTTAAACGTCGAGTAGTTGGATAGAGTGTGGTAAGATTCAAAGTTGTGAGACAAATACCGGCCACACAGAGAGTGGTGAGATAAAGTAGTGAAGCAGATGAGATAAAGGGTGAACTGAGAAAGTTGAGATAAAGCAGTGAAGCCGATGAGATAAAGTGTGACATGGAGAGTGGTGGGACATAGTGTTTGGACGACCAGTAGTTTCATAGACCATGATTAGATTCAGAATTGTGACACAGGAGTTGCCATGTAGAGAGTTGTTGTGACATCAAATAGTGAAGCAGTTCAGTTCAAGTGCGAAACTGAGAGTGGCGAGATAGATATTAGTGATTATAAAGTGGTGATGTAGATGAAATGAAAGGTGATATGGAAATTTGTAGAATAAAGTGTAGTGTGATCGAGAGTGGCTAGGTGGCTAATGTGTTGATTGGATATGGCAAAAGGTTTGTGTAACAAAGATAGTTGGTGAAATAAAGTTGTGTAGCAGATGAGACAAAGAGTGATATAGTGGGTAGTCAGAATGAAAGTGGTAAGATAAAGTACAGAGCTAGATTAGATAAAAAAAGTGAGGTAGAAAGTGATGAGACAGACAGTCGTGAGGTAGATGAGATAAAGGTGGCATGGACAGTGCTGAGCTAAAGTAGGTGTATTAGATAAAGAGCGACTAGAGAGTACTGAGATTTAAAAAAAAATATTGAGATAGAGTGTGGAAATGAGGTATAGTGAGATATAGAAGATAAGAAGATAGAATGCAACGAATACAATTTAATAGTGAAATCAGTTGAGAGATTAACCTTGAAAAGACGAAAGAGAAAGCACAGAGAGAAAGAGAGAGAAAGAGAGAGACAAGACAGAGACAGAGAGAGGCAGGCAAATGGGAGGGAGTGAGTGTGTGAGTGAGCTAAAGTGGGGTAAAAAGGAGAGGAAGAGAAAATGGGAGAGATAGAGAGAGAGAGAGAGAGAGATAGATAGATAGATAGATAGATAGATAGATAGATAGAGAGAGAGAGAGAGAGAGAGAGAGAGAGAGAGAGAGAGAGAGAGAGAGAGAGAGAGAGAGAGAGAGAGAGAGAAGGCAATTTTTAAAATAACTGAGAAAAAAAAAGTGCAACACGGAGCGCAAACAAAAGAAACTACAGCGTAAACGAGGGGGATATCCTGATGAGGAAATGAGAAAAAGAGATAGCGCAATGGTTTTATGGGGTACCCGAAACTGACAGAGAATTAATTATTTAAAGAAAATGGGAGAGACAGTATCATATCACTAACGATTTCACTAGATGTTTAAACTAGTATTGTGATTGATCATATTTTTCATGACAAGGGTGACTATAAATTTTGAGCTAACAAATTGACATCCTATTAAATTTTGAGTTAAAAACTCACTATTGTTTTGAGTTGAAAACGGGACCTTCCACCAATAGTTTGAGGTGTCGATTTCCAACTGCCAAGGGATTATGTATGTGCGCAACAATACACACGGGCGTCCGATCTTACTACGCAGAGACCAGGAGAAATTACTAGAAGTCCACTTGAAAAAATTCCAGCCTTCACTGGGGTTTGAACCCGGGACCTTCAGCACTTGAGGCGGACGCCATGCCTCGAGACCGCGCAGCTCCCTAAACTACTTAGGCTCAAGAGGGCACATATACATACATGCTTACATCAACATACATAAACAAACTACTCACCATACTGTCAGTGTGTGTACCTGCCCAAATTTTGAGATAAGCTGAAACACACCGTCTGTGGAAACCACGTTCAGCCAAATCACTCTATCCTTGTTTGTGTCAGTGATCTGCTGACTTTAGCAGAAATACAACTCCTCTTCTTGGACCGGACGACAACTGTCACTTTGTGGCAACGGTTCAGATTAAATGTTGTGTTATGTGACAAAATCTGTTCCTCGATATCTGTTCAGTATGACAACAACAAAAAGTGGCACAGAAAGTTAAAATAGTTAATAAATAAGTAATTACAAATAGTTAAATAAGTCGCCGTCGGCTCTGGGGCTAAGTCGATGCGAACGCTTCGTAATGCCAGGATGCCGGGTTCGATCGCAGCTGAGGGCCATGCGCCTTGCGTTGGTTTCGACAGTGGTTTCAAGCAAGCCGACCGTCCAGGGGGCAATGGCAAACTACTGGACGTAAATTTGCCTAGAAAAACCACACAACAGCTAGGGGATTTTGGGGTTGGTTCTGCAACGTCCTGTAAAGGATACCCAACTAAACAAAAGTAAAAACAAGTCGCCAGTGTGTTACCGAGGCCCTCACAGGAAGCAAAGAATAATAACACTGCACCCTACCAGGCATGTCGTAACAGGCGATTAAGGGTAGAGTTGAGCTTGGGGTTAGCCTCTTCATTCTGTAAAAACAATAGCCACAAAAACCAATCAACCATGACAAAGTCAGACGACTAGGCTTGAGTTGGTTGAGGGCCTATTCTTCATTGGGGGACAGAAGACAGAAAAAGACGTTAAATAAGTTTTATAAGTAAATATAATATAAATAAATATAAGTAAACAAGTAGTTAATAAAATGTAATGGAAAAGGTATAGTAAGCGTGTGGCCACAGCAATATAGACAAAATACTTTTAAGAAACGATATAGCAAGTACCTATATAGGAAAAGCCAGACAAAGGCGTATAGAAAATACATATATACAGCAAGTATGTTTATAGGAAAAGCCAGACAAAAAGTGTACAGAAAATACACACACACACACACATATATATATATATATATATATATATATATATATATATGTATATATATATATATATATATATATATATATATATATATTATATATATATATATAGCAAGCATGTTTATAGGTAAAGTCAGACAAAAAGTGTACAGAAAATACACACACACACACACACACACACACACATATATATATATATATATATATATATATATATATATATATATATATAGCAAGCATGTTTATAGGTAAAGTCAGACAAAAAGAGTATTGGGAAAGGTATAGCAAGTGTTTGAATAGAAAAAGGACAAACAAAATATGGATAGGAAATGATATGGTAGTTGTCTAAATAGAGCAAGATATACATAATATGCATAAAGGAAACTATAGAACAAGAATATTAAAGAAAAAAAACTAGAAAATATGTGTATAGAAAATTAGAAATAGACAGAACACCGCTAATATGCGTTTAAGAAAGGATATAACTAACGTTTATATAGGAAAAGCCAGTCAATGTGTGCATAGGAAAAGATATAACACGTGTTTAAATAAAAGAAGTCAGAAAATATGTGTACAGCAATATTTATATAAAAAATTATATTGAAAAAAATTCCGTACCACATACGCCTAGGAAAAACGCAGACAATATGTCGATACGAAAAGATACTCTTATAACTAACTGTGTGACAAATTTTCGCTTTCGGATTGCGAGCTGAAGTCTCGTAGGACCCGAAAAGCTGCATACTGGACATCATTCAAACAGGACAAAATTAAGACACCCCGTACAACCTCTTAGTAAGTTATAATGAGGGAACTCATAACTTCTACAACAAGTCTGGTCTGGTCTGGTAGGTCTGGTAGTCTTAGTTTCAGCTTCATAGCACCCCATCTTTGCTCTGCTGCTGTGCCAACGAAAAACACACAGAATGTTTATCACAGTCCCTTGTGGAAAGATTGACAGACTGCTGTCTCAGCATTTCTAGCATACACTCACATTAAAGCATACGGTAGCCATCCGAAGTACTAACACAAACACTCTGACATTAGAAATGCAGTTCATCATTGATGGTAGCAGAGGTCACCAATAGATATGCAGTAGCCCACGCGATCAGTTTTAATCACAAACGGGCACCACCAAAATTGCGACGACAGGCATCGCGACATTTTCTGAATCTACAATTCACACCAACACGTTGGTCACAGTCGAAAAAAACATTCCAAATGAAATCCGCAGCTCACAGTGTCACTCATGCATTCAACTCAGAAGCTAGGCGACGA